CATTATTAGAATAAAAAAAATAATAAATATAGCAAGATAAATTAACTCGCAAAGATCTAAGAGACACAATATTATTTGAAGAAATACTTAATAATTAAACGATTATAAACCTATATGATTGTTAAGGAAAAGTTTTTATACATTAATTTTTGAAAAATATTTTTTTAATTTTATTTGGAAGTTCAGCATTGTATTATTTTTATACAGATTAAGATAAAAAAAACCTAAATTATTAAATTGTCTTGTATGTTCAGCATTTACTGTTTCAAGAGTATTTATGTATAGAAGATTTTAAAAAAACTATGTTGATAAAATTATTTATGATACATGCACAAAAGAAATGACTATATTTAAAAAAAGCTTGTCCTTAAAAAACGTTTAATAATAAATTAATCCTGGGTTGCTTATGTTTACTAATGATAAAAAACTTAATAAATAATATATAAATTATTTAAATATGTAAACATTTGAAACATATTAAATTGGATATAATTTTGCTTGGAAAAATAAAGCTCTTTTTTCTCATCTTTTAGAATAAAGAGTAGAGACTATTAAATAAATATGAATATTATTATAAATATCTATTTTTTTAAAAAAAATGTATATGCGGAATTTTCAAAATCTTCTTTTTTTTATAAATAAAATAATTATTATTATAATTACTTAGTATAATAAAATTAATATTTAAAAATAGTTTTATTATGAATTATAAATATATTTCCTTTTATAATATAAATACTAAAAATATTTTTTATTTAAAATCTAAATTATTTAATTTATAAAAAAGTATAGTAATTAATTTTAATAAAAAAAATAGTCAGTCTATTATTATAGAAATTATTATTATATTTACATTATTTAAGTTATTCGTTCTTATCTAATTATTTAACATAAAAATGAATTGTATTATATATCTTTAGTTTTAATAAAAAAATAATATTTTATAAATTATTATAATTAACATTTAATATTTATTTTTATATTAGTATTTTTCTGCTTTTTCAATATTTTCATTATGATATTTACTAACCTTCAATATTAGGCATAATAAATAAACCTGTATTTTTAATAATAGATCCTTTAAAACCCTATAAAAAAATATTAAGAAAATTAAAAAAATATAAAATTTACTTATTTATTTTATTCATTAAATAAAGTAAATTCTGTTTTTGAAGTATTTTAGAAACTTTAATGATTGTAGTTATCTAAATATTTTAGAAAATTTATTCCATAAACATCTAAATTCAAATTTTAATTTTCATTTATGTTTTGATTTTAAGTTTGATTTGATTTTTATTTTTCTTGGATAAAATTTTGATTAAAATATTTTTACTCACTATTTTAAATTATGTTTTCGTTTGTATTTTTTTCATTTTCTGATGCTAAAGATTTTTTCTCTGAAGTTTAAGACTACTTTTATATTATTTATTCTGTTGTTTCGTTGAGTTAAAGTTTTTTTAATTTTTTAATTTTTTTCTATTTTTTAATCTTATCTTTATTTAATTCATTATTTTTATGGTTTTTAAGTTTTTTATTTTTATTTTTATCTTTATCTTTATCATTATTTTTCTTTTTCTTTTCAATATTTTTAACCCTTTTAAATAATTTAAAATTAATGTAAAAAAAACAATTAATATATATACTACTTTTTTTATTTATTTATTTATCTAATATTTTATTTCTCAAAATCTTCGCTTTTATAATTATTATTTTTATTTATTATTTCTATTTCATTACTCAATGCTTTAATCTCTTAATTATAATTTTCTTCTATTATTATATTATCTTCATCTTAGACTTGAATTATTTATTATGGTTATTAATATTAATATTAATATTATTGAATATCTTACTATTACTTAATAATTTATTATTATTATTCAATATTTTATTATTATTAATGATTTTATTATTATAGGAATTCTTACTATTGAACTTAATTTTAAGTAAAATATTCTTAATATATTTTTTAGAATTAATTCTCTTAGTTTTAAAATTACATAATTCCTTTGAATGATAATTAATTTTTTTGTTACTAGTGTTAGTCATTTATTTATAACAATGTCTATTAATAATAATTATTATTAAAAATATTTTTCTAATAATTGTATTAACTGTTTTAATCAAACAATCTATTCAATGATTAATTTTTTGCGGTATAAAAATAATCATTTTATGTAAATTAGAACTTATCTTTTTTATTTTTCGCAGCTTCAATAAAATAGTTTATATTATCAATTGGCTTAGAAATTAGATTTATTTTTTCATCAAATTACTTAGTAATATAATAGTTTTTATTTTAAATTTGCTTTTCTTTTATATATTTTCTTAATTAGATGAACAAATTTTTAATATTTTTAAATAAAAATGTCATAATTATTAGTAAAATGCAAGTTTGCAATAATAAGATATTATTTGAATGCATATTTTGTATTTATTATTTTATTTATTTATAATAAATAAATTATATATAACATTTTAATAATAAAAATAATTATTTAATTAAATTTATACCTTCTAATTGTTTATAAATACTTTTTCTAATAAAATTTCTAATTTAAATTTAAAAATTTAAAATAACTTATTATTTTTTAATAATATTTAATAATAAATTTTATTATTATATTTCAAATTTTAGCTTATATTTAATTAATTTTAATTCATTTTTATAATTTTAAATATTTCATTATTTATTAACAAAAAAAACCTAAAACATATATTTTGGATTTTTATATATTTAAAAATAAAAAAGAATAAATAAATATTTATTTTAACATAAAATAATATTTATTTAAGAATTAAATAATTAAAAAACAATTTTTAAATATTAATAAATTATATGTATAGTTATTTCAATAATATATAATTTAATTTAATGTATTATTATATAAATTATTTATTTATATAATGAATATTTTTAATTTAATATTTTTATTTTGCTAAACATTATATAACTTTAAAAATATTATTTTTTATAGTAATATTATTCATTATTTAAGTTTGCTACTTTTAATATCTTTTTTTAATTTTAATATTTTTTGCATTATTATTTTAACATCTTCAAGATTATTGAATTGCTTTATAGAAAAATCTTATTTTAGATTATTTTTTTTATTATAAAATAATTTTTTTAATTTATCTTCTTCCAACTTAATTTGATTATCTAAATCTTAAATAAGTTTTTCATTAAAAACAATATTATCCAATTCACTAACTTCGTCTTTATTACTTTCAGCATATTCATCTTCATTCAAAAAATATTTATTAACTTCTTATTATTTTGTATTAGTCATTTAAGAATAAACACATTTCATTACTAAATTTTCGTTTCCATTGTTAAACATAATTAGTTTTTATTCTTAATCTTTTTATATAACAGGACAAATAAGCAAATTATTTTTATTACTTGAATTAAGTAAATTCTAAATAACTTTTTCATAAAAAAAATTATCGATTGCAAATCCAATATGAATTATATCGAATGTCTATTAATGTAACTTTTAATCTAATAATTATTCTAAATTGATACATTTAAAATCAAATTTTATATTATCGCCAAAACTTAGTTCTTTTTAAATTTATATTGTTTTCTATTTAAATTCTTCATATATATCAACACCTAAAATATTAATTATTCCTTAAAAATTTTCAGTTTATTAAAATAGTTTTCCAATCGCAAAACCAATAAATCCATTTCCACATCCTAAATCTAATATATTAATATTGCCAGATTAATTTTATTTATCAACAAATTCATTTATTTTTTCTAAACAAAGTGCATGCATAAATGAAGATGTCATATTCTAGCCGTTTCCAATTTATGCAGGAGAATTAGTATATATTTTTGAAGTGTTTAATTTATTTTAAGGAACAAATGATTTTCTATCTAATTCTGAAAATACTTATTTTACTCTGCTTGTTTGTAAAATATTATTTTGTATTAAATTTTAAACTAATTCTTAATGTGATTGTGCTATTTTATTCTCAAAACCCATTGATAAAGAAATTAATAAGTCATTTGTTAATTCTGTGTTTTTGAGTACAAAATTTTTATTCGAAAACTTATAATATTATTAATTATAATTTAATTTTTATTTGATTTAAAAAATTGGTCTAATAAAGTTTTTCATTTTTTTATTAATTTTAAAAAGATACAAAAATATAAAAAATAAATAAAAAATTTAAATTACTTTTTTTTAAAAAAATTAATAAATAAATAATATTTTATTCATTTTGCTATTTTTTATTATATGATTTAACTTGAACTTTTTTATTCTTTAGTTTAATTTTTCTATGAGTTTTCTTATTTTAAAATTTTCGGAGGTTTAAATTCTGAAGTTTATATTTTTTTATTAGAAATAATTTCCTAATTTATCTTATTAATATATTTATTATTTATTTGTTCAAATATTTTATTATTAAATTCTTCGTTTTCTTTTTAAAACTATAAAAACTAAGGAGCGTACCCACATATATTAATATATTTTTTCTCAGAGAACTAATTTTCCAAAATTTTCAAATAAATAAAATATTCGCCCTCTTTTAGTTATAAATGAATATCATAAACTTTTTTTGACCCTTACTTTTTTTCCAAAATTTTAATTTTCTCATTTTTAACTTTTAATATCAAAATTTTTAACAAAAATTTTTTTTATTAAATAAATTGTCTATTTTATTAATAAAAACTCAAATAAAATGATATTTTTTAATTCAATTTAATTTTAATTAATTATTCTTGAAAATTAAAAAAACATTTATATTAAGAAAAAACATAATTTTCATTAATAATACTTACAATAATATTTTTAAATAAATAAATAAGTTAAATTTTTTCTATTTCTACATATTCTGCATTAATTTTATTTAGACCTCCCCTTGGATCTCTTAAAATAAATTTTTCTTATTTTTCCCCTATTAATGCATAAGAATGTCCTTAAGTCAAAATTTGCTTGCCGTATTTTTCTAAATGTCCAGTAGTAATAGAAACCAAATGATTTTTCTCAAAATGTCTACTAATTTTATCAAATAAATTTTTTTTCTACATAAAAATTAAATTAATATTATTATGAAAAAAATTCTACTTTTCTCGGATCATCTACATATTTTTTTAATTTATAGCATTTTGTTGGACATCCGGTAACTGCCCGAAGTCCATAAGCAGTATTTCCACCCCATAAACTACTATATTATTAATATAACTTTGCCCAGGCTTTTTCTATTATCATTGGCCATATTTAATTTGGCTAAACTATATTGCAGAAATAAGGAATTTTTTATTTTAAGAAAACGGAAAATTACTATCAATTGTAATGTAAGTCCATTTTCCATCTATAAATAGCCAAACACTGTAATATCCCATTTTATTTACTTCTTTTATTGTAAATAATCGCCCTATTAGGTTTTTATTTATCATTCCTAATAATGAAGCAGGGTTAATTAAATAGCAATCTCCTATATATCCTTATATTACTATTTAATCTTAATTAGAATCAAATATTGTATATTTTTAAGCTATTTCTTCGGCTTTCAGCCATGTTATGTCTTAAAATTTTTTCACTATTTTTTGTCCTAATGATACATTGTTTGGGGGAAACTGTTCATCTAAATAAACTTTATTTTTATCTAAATTTTCATATACAAAATCTTAAAAAGGATTATTTATATATTCGTTTATATAAAAAGTAATGTCTGTCATTTTTAATGATTTTTTATTAATAAATAAAATAAAATTTTAATAAAATATTAAAACAGCATTTTAATTAAATATTATTTTTTAAAAAAAAATTAATATGTATGATATTTTACAGAAAAAAAATTAAAAGATAATAGTTTTAAATAAAAATACAATATTAAAAATAAATGTACAAAATATGCTAAGGAATATTGATGCATCACTTATTAATGAATTAATGCTAAAATAATCATAAATAATAATTAAAATAGAAAATTTTATCAATTAGATATATATATAAATAATATTTATATATACATGTATTTAAAATTATATATTGATTAATTTTAATTTTTTTTATTGTAAATATTTCACTTTTTTTTACTATATTGTTTCATTAAAAAAAAATTAAATTTATTCAAATTTATTTATAGGAATATAAAGAATAATAAGTTCTAAATTTTACTTTATTATATTAATTATAAATTTTTCATTTATGTATAAAAATATTATCAATTCTCTATTATTTACGAAAAACATTTATTTTCAAAATTTAGCTATTGTGAATAAATAAATTTAAAATTATGATTTTTACTAATTTTTTTATGAAATTACACGAATAAAGTATATAATATTTTTCAAAAAATAATAATATTAATTTATATTATTTATAAATTAACAAAAATAAATATTAAAAAATAATTTGAAAATATGATATTATTAAAAAATATAAATCTTAATATTAACTTTTATATTAAATTAAATTATTTTTTTAAAATATATATATTTTAATAATTATAACTAGGTAAAAATTTTTGAATTAATTTTAATATCAAAATTAATTTATTTAAAATGTTGGTAAGATATAATAGATATATAAATAACACAATAACACATAATTTTAATATTTTTTATTTTAAAATAAATAAAATTAATAATTATTTATATTTTTTTCTATTTATATTCTATATTATAAATAAATATATATATTATTTATTTTAAATATAATAATATTATATTTCTTATATGCATTTCATTTTTTTTTTGAAATACTATATTTTTTTATTTATTTTATTAATTTTTTTTTTACTAATATAAATAAAATTATAGTAATTTTTAAGAAAAGTAAATATATAAAATAATAAGTGCATATATAAAAAATTTAATATAATATAAAATGTCATAAATAAGTCAATTAATAAAAGACCAATAAAATATATTAAAGCACACATTAAAAATTCGTAATAATTCTAATCAAATATTAAAAGATTATATAATAACAGCCAAAGAAAACCAATTTGTAAAACAAAATGAATTAATCGGCACTATAATATTAGAAAATAATTAAATTGATTTAACAAGTCCAATGGAGGGTTTTATATAAAATATCAGAAACAATAATATTCCTATAAATTAATAACATTCTATAGAGTTATGTCATATATACAAATGTGACCATTAAATAAATAACGAAGACCTAGAAAATATAATAAAGCATTGTAAATTATGCGGATAAGTAATATGGGTATACAGTGATGAAAAAGAAGGAATAATTACACACAAGTTATCAGATTTAAAATGTTTTTAATAAATAAATTTTCGATAAGAAATAACTATAACAGACTTTACATTGGTAAAAATAAATGAGATTGTGAGCAAATAGAGAATTCTTTTCAAAGGAGAATATACATTAGATTCAGATTATAGTGATTCAAATAGTAATGAAGATGAAAATTAAGTTATTTTTGAGTTTTATCTTCCTTTTTCGATAAAAATAAAGGAAATTAATTATAATTATAATAAAGAAAATTCTTGGATTATCAAATATTAGAAAATAATTTGTACACATTAAAAAATCGATTAAAAACATATGTGTTTATTTTGTTAGGAAATTATTTCAGATCATAAAAATTTGGCCTATTTTGGATTCGATAAAACCGAAAAATAACTTCGTTTAGGAAAAGAATATGCAGAGTATTAAACAAATAAGCAGCATACATAATTACATGAAAATAAAAAACTTATTCTTGTTTTAGATTTAGATAATACTATTTTGCATTCTTTGATTGTTCTAAAAGACACTGAATATTAAATAAAAGAAGATATTTATAATTTTTTTATAAATAATCCTAATAATACATAGGATATTTATTTGGTTAAAATAAGGAATTATATGGAATAATTTCTTAATTTAATTCTTCCTCATTATGAAATTTATATTTTTACAATGGCCACATTGGACTACGCGGAAAGTTTATGCAAATATATGAAGAACAAATTTTCTTCTTTACTTTAAAATTATCCGAATGCTTTTAATAATGATAGAATTATTTCTAGAGAAAAGTTTATCGATAAAAATAAAAATCTATCATAAATATTGCCTAATTCAGATAAAATTATGCTCATATTGGATGATAGAAGTGATGTGTGGGAAAAAAATATTAGTAGTTTAGTGAATACTTACCCTTATTTTTATTGGAGCGAAAGCCCTTGGAATTATACAGTTTATAAATGCATTAAAGAATATAATAATTATTGGAAAGGAAAATTTAGGGCACTTAAAAAAGCTAATAATAATAATCACTAAAAAGAGGAAGAATAAAATGAAGCAAATGTAGGATAGGGTCCTAAAACAATATTGGAAGAATCTTTAATTTTATCAGAAATGAAAATTAATGAAGATGTTCCTTAATAAAATTATAATTTTCAAAATTATCTATATAAATTATTTTATTCTGAAGAAAACAAACAAAAATACACAAATTATTCCTTTAAGCCTTCTATTCATCAGGATTTAGATATTTTTTTGATTTTTGTAGCTCCTGTATTAATAAAATTAAAAGAAAATTATTACAACTAGGAATAAAATGAAAGAGATATAAGAAATACTTATAAATAATATAAAGGAAATATTCTAAAAGGAGTAAAAGTTGCGATTACTAGTGTTCTAAAAAAACAATAAAAAATTGAATAAAATGAATTTTGTGAAAAATTAGTTTAAATGGGAGGTATAGTTTAAGAAAAATTTGAAGATAAAAATGATATAGATTTTTTAATAGTAGGAGGTAAAGTAAAAACAGAAAAGTTAAATAAAGCAGTTAAAAATGAAATTCCTTTAGTACATGTTTAATGGATTAACTTTTGTTGGTTATATAATTATTAATTGGCTTATTAAGTTTTCCAATTAGATAAGGATAATTTAATTTTAAATAAGGATAATGAAGTAATTTAGTAGCAGTTATTAGATTATCATAAAGATGAATTAAAAAGTTTAATACAATAATGATATATTTTATATTTCTTTTTATTATGTAATTAATAAATATTTATATGTTATTGTTTTATTATTAATAGCAATTAAATACGTTTATTATATAAATTAAATATGAATATTGATTAAATTTATATTTTTATAATTTTAAATAATAAGAAACAAAATATATTAAAAATTAAAAAATATTAATTATTTTAATATTAAAATAATAAGTAATAAATATATATATATTTATATAAAAATATTTTTATATATATATATTTATATATATATATATATATATATTTATATATTTTATTTTACTAACATAATGTATAAAAATTTTCTTAAGTATATATATTTTTTATTTTTTAATATATTTATGTTTAATGTTTTTTTTTTACTAAATTCAATAATATTCTTTACTTTCCTTATAAAAACATATTTTCCATTTTTTTTTTCTATAATATTAAAATTATATTATATATACAACATTAAAAAATCTTTAATATATTATCTTCTATAATTACACAAAAATATAAAATTTAAATAAATTTCTAGTTAATCTATAGTGTATATTTTTTAAGAAAATAGAAAATTTTACCGTATATATATTTTGATATTGTTTAATTTTTTTATTTAATTTATTTTATCAGTTTCAAAATATTTAAATAGAAAATTATATAATATTAGTATATTTAATGTTTTTTAAAACAATTGCTTTATTATATATAAAAAATGTTTTTAACTCATTTTTTTTTTAATCATATTCCTCTAATAAGTTTTATAATTTATTGATTTATTTTATAAAAAGTTTTAAATAATAACAAGAATTATAATTTAATTTATGCATTTTTTTATGATAAAATATATTATATTTAAATTTGTATTTAAAAATTAAAATATTTTTTTTTTTTCTTGTATGATTAGATATAATATTTTATTGAAAATGTTCATGAAATAAATCTATATTATAAAATATATAGTAAAAAGATAATATAAGTTATAATAAGAAAAATATTTAATTTATAAATTATTAAAAATAAAAATATGTAGTTTTTATTTAAATAATACAAAAAATTATTTCATTTTTATTATTATTTTAAATAACGTTCAAATAGGTTTAAATTTATCTAATATTTAAGTATTGTTAATTGCTTGCAAATATGTATGAATTGATCTGATGTGAATTTCAATATTACTAATTTTCGTGGAATTCATAAGATAAATAAAAGCGAAATTTTCAAAAAAATCTACACTTAATTATCTAAAAACATCTTTAAATTTTTTAATTACTAGTTTATCATTTAAAAAAGTAGTCCATCCAATTTAGAAGTCTTTTTTTCTTTATAAAACTATTTCTTCGGAAAGCCAAATTTCAAATTATTTTTTGTCATTTAATCCCAATAATTTATTCAATAAATTTTAAAAATGTTAATTATATAAAATAAATCTTTTCAAAGCATTTCCGAAATTTTTAAATACATTTTTATGTTTACTCTATCTATATTGACCCGGTTAAGAGCATTTTTATCTATGCACGATTTTTTCTTTTAATATATATTTTTTTTTCTTCACTGTATAATGATTATCTTCAGATTAATCATCATAAATAGAATTATTGTTATTTTTACCAAATTCGCTTTTCGTATCAGCAGGCCTATCAATTAAATTATCTAAATTTAAAAATATTTTTTAATTATTAATATTTTACACTTAACTATTTATATATTATTCATTATTATCATTTTCATGATTTAATTATAATACAACACTATTTGTTTAACTTAACTAAAGTAAATTTTATTGTTCTTATTATATTTTTTAATCTTCTTGACTAATATTATGATTATCCAAATTATAACTAAGTAATTGGTTATTATTGTTAAAGCTATTGTTGAGGACTAATTCGCAATTTTTATTAAATGAAAATTTTTTTTATAAAGAAAAATTATTAATGCTGTTGTTTAAATTGAGACCTCCTAAAATAAAGGAGTTATTTAATTAACTTTTGAAAATTTAGCTTGATTAAATCAACTATTAATTAAGCATTTATAAATTGAAAAAACTGTTGAACATCATTTTTATATAGGCAATTTTTTGTTCTTTTTTATATTTAAATAAAATTTAAGAATGTTTTATAATTAATATAAATAATATTTAATATTTTTAAAAATAATTTTCTAAATATAAATATCATATTCATTAATATTTATTAATGTCATAAATATTAGTATTGTATAATGGCTTTTTAAACAAATGTTTTATTTAAATATTATTTATTATAATATTTATATTATTTTTTTATATAATTTTTTTTTTTATATTTATTTTTAATTTTAGTTTTATTTAAAATTTTTAATTATTTATTATTTATATATCTTAAATATTTATAAAATAAGAATTTTAAATTATTATAAAAATATATTTAGCTCTTTTTAGGTTTCTTATGAGATAAAATTTTAATACCTTATTATCATAAATTAAATATATTCATATTTTAAAAATTTTATTATTTTACAAAATTTTTAAAAAAAGAAAATCGAGATTTTTTTTTTTTCATTAAATATATTAAAATAAAAATATAAACAAAAGTAAAAGTAATTAAAACATAATAAATTGTTTACAAATTACTAAAATAAAAAATTATTTATACACTTATATATTATATAAAAAAATAAAAAAAAATTTATTGTTTATTTTATTTTATTTTTAATTATATTGTTTTATTAATTAAATTATTGTATTTTTCTCTTATTTCAAAATAGCATCATTAATTAATCATTATTTACAAAGTAATAAAGTGAAATTAAAGAAATATTTTAAAAGCATGATTTAAAGCTGATTGCATGATAAACAAAAGATTTTTTATTGATTTTATGATTGAAAATATTCATTGCTATTTAAGCACCACATAATCCACCATATTTTATTAAATTTAATAAGGTTTTCTCTTTTATTCTTAAAATATTGTTTTTCGCAAAATATTTATCAATGCAAATCATTACAAATGCTAATAAATTGATTATTATCAAATAAAAGCTAATAATTAATGAAATTTTTTCTTAGTTGAAATTCATTTGATTCAATTTACTTTATTTTCTTGGGTTTATTTTTAACTTAATATTTTTTAATTTATTTTTTAAATTAATTATTATAATTTTTGTTTAAGAAACAAAATTAAATAAAATAAAATATCTGTTTTTTCACCGATTATAAAAATACAGTTTTATCAAAATTAAAAAACTAAATATGAATATTTTAATTAATTGAAAAAACTGCTGTGTTGAAAAAACTATTTTTAATTTTTAATATTTTCTGATAAAATAGTTTTAAATATTTAATATACAAAAAAATAGGTTTTTTCAAGGCTTAATATATTAAAATAGATTATAAAAATAATTCAATTTTTAATTATTTTGTGTTATTAATAATTTAATTTAACTAAATTTTTATTTTTATATAAGTGTATTTTTTAACAATAAAATATAATATAATTGGCTTAAGAAAATAATAATTTAATTATATGAAAATATAATTATAGTTAAAAATAAAAATTAAATAACTATATTTAATAATTTTAGATTTTTTTATAATAATTAAAATTAAACATGTATATTTATATTAAATTAAAGTTATAAATTTAATTTTACTGTAAATTATTAATAATTTTATATATAAAAAAAGGATCTAAGTTTTTAAATTAATAATTTAATTAAAAAATTATTTTAAAATATTTAAAATATCTAATATTATGAAAATCAATGGTTGATAAACTAAGATAATTAACATTTTAATTTATTAATTTTCTAATTATTTATTTTCATTTAATTTTTTTATAAAAATAATAAAAAAATATATTTAAATATCTCTTATAATTTAATAACTGTAATAATACAGAATAAATAAAAGTTATAAATATAATAATTTATATTAAAATATTAAAAACTTATGGAAAGTTTTTTTATAAAATATTCAAACTATAATTATAATTATAAAGTATTTTTTTTATTATATTAAACATAAAATTAATTATTTTTTTAAAAAAAATATTTAGATATTAAATTTTATTTAATCTAAAAATTTTAATACTAAAAAATAAAAAAAAAAATATTTTGTAAAAAAAAAATTCTTATTTAATTTTAAATATTATTTATTTGTTATTAAATTATTTTTCTATTTAAAAAAAAATATAACTCTTAAATCTCTAATAAATTAATATGATCTAAAATAAAAATACACTTAAGCGTCCTAATACTGTTTTTCCTAAGGTTAAAATAATAATAAATGAAATATATTATTTATAAGATTTATAAAATAGGCTGATAGGGAAATGACTTTACTTACAAATACATAATATGAGAAATCAAATAATTAGCCTTTTTTAGATTTCATAGATCCATAAGATCTTAGAAGATAAAAATCACAAATAGCAAAGAAAAAGTACGAACAATTATTATAAAAGATTTAATTTTATGATATGAACTTACCTGAAAGCGAGCGCAAATATGTATATTCGAATTAAACATTAATGCCCTTTATCTAATTTTTTAAATACTTAGCCAGAAAACCTGATATGCCCGAAAATGAAGTAAAACAATCAAATATAAATAGACTTAAATTATGGATACCAAACACAATAATTTTAAACGACAATAATTTACCACCAATGTGGTTTTATTCATCCCCTGATGGATATGTATATCGTACAGATTAATTAAATCCAAAAAATGTAGTGGCAAAATTATCAAATTATTCATCTCCAGATGAATTAGTAGCACTTATAAAGAAAGTATATTTTTTAAATATAAATAATAAATATTATTTTTTAAAAATAAGTTATAATATAAAGATTAATCTAATATATGTGGCAATACAATAAAATTAGTTAGTTCAAAAGAACTTTTAAATGCTACTGCTAGCTAGTTTTAACTTTCTGGTTAATTTTTATTTATAAATAAATAAAAAACTAAAAAAAAAATAGAAACCACTGTAATTTAAAAATTTATAAAATCTAATGGACCTAAAGCATTTATTTGTAGAACAGTTTGGAGAAAAGGAAGAAATCCTTATTCTTGGATAATAACTAATAAATGCGATTTTTACTCGGAAGAGAAAATTCCTGAGTACTAAAAATATATCACAAATGTAAATGTAATGAACTCTTGTACTATTGTTCATACTTGTAAAGGAAAATATGTAGATGAAACTATTCCTTATATTCATAATATATTGAGATATTTGTATTTAACTTTACATATAAATTTTTAGGAATTTGTTTGTGATTTTATTAAGGATGAATCCGGAATTTGGTGGATGGTAAATATTTAAAATTTATTTTATATATAAGAAAATATTTTAAGGTTAATGTTAAAGCTTTCATTTTTGATCATCCTATTCCTGATGAAATAAATACAAAAGTAATTTTAAATTACGGAGATGAAATTGCAATTGAATAACAAGAAAATATTCATAAATAAGTACTTTTTTTAAATAAATAAATTTTTATTTATTCTAAAAAATTTTTAAATAAAAAAAAAGAATAAAAGTAAATATTAGAAAGTTAAATAATGTAAATACTGTGAAACAATTCTTCCAGAAATCGAATTAACTTAAAAGATGACCTTAAAAATGATTATATAAACAGATAAGCATTTAATGGTAAATATTAATAAAGAAATATATTTATTTATAATTAAAATTAAGCATAGAAATAAAAACTTCTAATGGCTATAACGTTCAGATATAAAACACATAGATACTCCTTTATTGTATTAAGAACATAAAGTTTGTCATCCATGCTATAAACTGTACACTGAAACTGAGAAACTTATCCAATATGAATACAACTTTGCTAAAATACTGGGAATTCCATGCAATGAAGAAACTAAGTACAATCTAGTGAGCTTAGATTAAGCAGAATAGGCTTATGGGGGAGTAAGTTTTTAAATTTTAGGAAATCTTTAAAAATAAATAGAAGAAGTTAAAGATGAATTTAGTAATTAATTATATATATAATTATTATTTTTAATAACAAAAAAAAGATTGTGTTTTAGATATTGCACCAAATACTCAATTAATAGTTAAATAAAATTAACCAAAATTAAATAATAAAGTTGAAAAGTATTTAGATAGATATAGAATTATGATTTTATTATAGTAATTGCGTGATATTCCTAATGAAAGGGATTATAGTAAAAGTTACTACATTGAGTATTCTATTTTGATTAAATAGTTAGATATAAATTAGATTTGTAAAATTCATATCCAAATCCTAAAGATAATACATGTACTATAACTTTAAATAAAATAAGAATTTGTTATTTTTTTACTAATGGAAGAAAAGGAATAAACACTTATATTAATGAATCTTCAGTATTATATATTTTTTGTTTGTTATATATTTTTTAAAAAAATAGAATTTAACTGCTTATTTGTACTGTGAATAAAACAAAATTGGAACATTAAAACTTTCCTTAAAAGACTTTCTAAGTGATAAAGTTTTAAAAAGAGAATACTATAAAGTTTTTGATGGACCAGCTTTACCTACATTAAAATGGGGATTAAATGTATTTTTTTTTATTTAAAAAAATAAAATAAATATATATAAATATTTTCTAATTTAAAGTTAACTATTGGAATGTTTAATTCAGGCCTTGTTGATGTTAAAAATATTAAATTATAAGAAAAAGACGGCGTATAAATATTATATATACTAATAATTATTTATGATTTTAAAATAAATATTAAGATATATTTACCATGTCCTGATTACTATGCATCTGAGCCCCTACCATTAGAATGGATATAATTAATAAATGAAAAAAAAGATTATATAGCCCCCTTAAGATTATAAACTAGTAATAAATAAAAATATTTCATATTTTTTTAATAATATTTATTTATTTATATTAGTATAAAAAAATTCTGATAAGTCAAATCAAGGTACTCCCAGAAAGAACTCACATTCAATTTCTAAATTGTAAAAACCAAGTTAATTCCTATAATAATAATAACAAACAAGCTCTTTAAAATATTAATCTGGCCAATAATGTTTTCCTTAAAATTTTGCTACTACAACACAAAGTCAATTTTATACTTTAGGATATAGTACAGAAAATTTTAATAATACAAATAATTAAAATGCATAATAAAAGCAATCTTAAATTATTTCTGAGTTGTCAGCATTTAAAAAAGGAGTTTAATTTGCAGATTGGAATGACGCTTAGTACAATATTGAAGATAATGTTTAATAAAATACAAATTAACATTTGTATTCAGGAGATTATAAAGTAAATTGGAAATAGTTATTATTATTAAATATATATATTTTTTAAAAAAAGAGTGAAAACACTTGCGAAGACACTAAAGTTTTAGAAGAATTAGTAAAAAAAGAAATAAAAAGTTATACTGAAGAAAACAAAAGAAGGTAACTTTAAAAATAAAATAATTAAGTCAAATTATTTATTTATATTTATATATAAAGTTAAAAGTTAAGAAAAAAAATGCATTATTACTGAAAAAATAAATAATTTATATATATTTAAAAGAAAAACAAGATATTTATGTTGTTTTATTTATTTATTTTATTATTATTATATTAATTTTAATCATTTTCTTATTAATTTTATTTATTTTAAATATTTTTAAAATTTTAAATATATATATATATATGTATTTATTTATTAATAATCATTTTTATTTTATTATAAATATTTTTATATTTATTTTTATAATTTATTGATTTTATTTAATTTTTTTTTATATTAATTATTCTATTATAATTTTTTTTTATTGAGAGAACTATATATCTATATTTTAATTTTATTCATTTAAAATATTTTAATATACTTATTTATCAATATTTTAAAATTTACATATCTTGCATTTGAAAAGTCTTATCTTTACAAAAAATAAGTTAAGATTAAATAAATATATTTTTCTTAGTAAATATTATATTTTTAAAAATAAAATATTATATTATCTATCTATTCATTAAGCTCTTTCTTTTCATAATTTTTTTTTTAAAATTCCCTAAGTTAATATTTTTTATAAAAAGTTAATTAAATTGAATCAAATTTATTTGTTTCATATGTTTGTGTACTTAAGAAATTTTATTTATATTTATATTGATATTCATATAAACCTGTATTGTTATTTTTTAGTTTTTTATGTATTTTTTTTTAAATTTAATATAATAAAAAACATTTATTCATTTTTTTATTGATTGATATTTAAAAAAAACTACGGAAAAAATAAAAAAACATCGGAACAAATGTTAATTATATAAATTAATACAATATTTAAAATTTACTAAACGCATATCAAATGCAATATATAAATATAATTAAATATATTAACAAATTTGTTTAAATATTTTAATAAATTAATCAAATTTATAATAAAGTAAAATATATTTCTTTTATAATTAAATTGATCAAATATATTATTAATTTTATATATTATTGCATTAAGTATATCTTTTATAGTTTAGAGAAATTCTGATTAAATAATCATAATTTTTTTAAATTAAATATGCTAATCAATTTAAAATATTAATGCATTCAAAGACTATAGTTGGGGTTAGTAATTATTTTAAAGTAAATTATTGAGTTTGGATATTAAGAATTTATTTGCAAAATCTTATCGTAATTATTTTATACATTTGTGGATTAAATATAAAAATATAAAAATTTCAATATTTTTTAGAATTTAATTTAAGTTAATGGTATTATTAAATAAGTAAAAATTAATATATAGTATTATTTTAAGTTGCTTTATAAATTTATAACTAGAAATAATTTATTTTTTTAAGAATTACGAATTTTAAAATATTTCTTCAATATTGAAGAACAATTTTTCTTTTTTTTTTTTTTTACAAGTATATAAAAAGTTTGCATTATATTTAATATTAATTTATTTTTAATTATATAAATTAAACATTTTTTATTATATATGTTAAATAATATATTTATAATATTTTAGTTATAATAATTTTTATAAAATATTATCCATTTTTTAATAATTTAATAATATTTTATAAAATAAATAAAAAAATATTTAATAATTAGTGATAACTTATAATATATTAGGTTAAATATAATATAATTTTTATTTTTCTAAATAATTACTTTATTTATGAACATTGTTATTATATTTAATAATTTCTATGTTAATAAAAAATATGTATTATATTTGAATAAAATTTTATAAAATAAATAAATAAATTAAAATATATAAATATTTTTTCTCTTATTAAGATTTATAAAATTCACGGGAAATAATTAAATATTTATACAAAATTAAAATAATTTATATGAAATTTCTAATCTTAACCTTTTTTTCTTTTTGTATTTAAAAAAAAATAAATTCAAAATTTAAAAATAATTTATTTTAAATAAATTGAAACAAAAAAATATGAATGAAAGATTGAATAAATACTAAAATATATAAGGTGCTGCAGAATAAGTGTCATAATCATAAAAAGAAATAGTATACTCACATAATTTTGAAAAAGATATTTTAGAAGAAAAGTAAATTAAAATTATTTAGCAAATTAAAATATTGTCATATGCTTTATCTGTATTATTAATATTGACAATATTAATTCATATAATATGATTTAGTTTAGATAATAAATAATTTTTAGATATTTAATAATTTAAGAGTTAATTGAATATTACAATATATGTATAAATATAATAGCTTTTAATTTTATAAATTATAATTTATATATAACATTATAATATGTTTTTTTTTTAAATAAATTAATAATCATATTCTTTTTTTATTAAGTAATTATGCATTTCATATATATATTATACATTAAATTAGTTTAATTTAATATTTTTTTAATAAAAAGTTTATAATTTTTATTAATATTAACAATTCATACTTTAATATTTTATTGATTATATATTATATTTAAATTTTTTTAAAAAAAATGATTTTTTAATGCATATATTAATAAATATATTCTTAGATGAGTTTTATATTATTCTTTACTTAATAATATAATAATATTACAGCCTTAAGTATGAAAACTATAGCTTTTAATTAAAATAGATTTTTTTTTACAAAAATAAAGTTTAAGAGTAAATGATTCTGAAGTAATTCCAGAAGATAAGAAACAAGCAATTTGTAAAGCTCAAAATATGCTATTCTAAATACTAAATATTATAAAAATAAATTTTAAAATATATATTTAATATAATATAAAAACAAAAATTCGATTAATAAAAAAGGAATAGCAAGAAAACTATGAACATTAATTTTTAAATTGTATAAATGGAAATATTAAAATAGAATAAATTAAGATTTATTCGATTAAATATCGAATTAATTTTTCCTGGACTAAGATATCCTATGTATTTTGAATTCTTAAAATGCTGCATTGTAGTATTATTTTTAATATTTGCTTCATGAGGTATTTTTAATATGCTACTAAATTACTATTTAGAATAAATATGTAAAGACTTAATTCTTGAAAGTATAGTTTATGTAGTTTAAGTTAACTACATAATTTTCTTATACAAATAAATACCCTACCTTAATTTTAATACAAGATATTATAAACTTAGTATTTAGCAAACTAAAGAAGTATAATTTTTTTTCTAAATTTTTTTTAAAAAATTATAGAATCATATAAAAATATAGTAATCTATATAAGTGTTAATTATCAAAATGTATATTTAAATATCGAAATTGCTAGTATTGTACTAATTTAAAAATTAGAAAAGTTACATTAGCTAAAAACTTAAAAAAATGACTTAAATCAAATAAATTTAAGGTATAATTGTAAAAGAAGAAATATAAGATTGTGAAAAAGAAATGAAAATTAAAGCTATTTAAAATAATTCGTTTTAGAATATTAATGATCAAATATATAAACTACATAAACATATAAAATGTGCTCACTTGCTATAAATTATCAATTTCATAATTTATAATACGGCATTAATTACAGTTATAAT